TCCACGTCCACGTCCACGTCCACGTCCACGTCCACGTCCACGTCCACCTCCATGTCCACGTCCACGTCCACGTCCACGTCCACGTCCACGTCCACGTCCACGTCCACGTCCATGTACGTCCACGTCCATGTCCACGTCCACGTCCCATGTCCACGTCCACGTCCATGTCCACGTCCCCGTCCACGTCCATGTCCATGTCCACGTCCATCCACGTCCACGTCCATGTCCACGTCCACGTCCATGTCCACGTCCACGTCCACGTCCATGTCCACGTCCCCGTCCACGTCCATGTCCATGTCCACGTCCACGTCCACGTCCATGTCCACGTCCACGTCCACGTCCATGTCCACATCCCCGTCCACGTCCACGTCCAGGTCCATGTCCATCCACGTCCATGTCGACGTCCGCGTCCATCACGTCCACGTCCACGTCCGCGTCCACGTCCACGTCCACGTCCACGTCCACGTCCCCATGTCCACGTCCACGTCCACGTCCATGTCCACGTCCACGTCCATGTCCATGTCCACGTCCATGTCCACGTCCACGTCCATGTCCACGACCATGTCCATGTCCACGTCCAAGTCCTCCACGTCCATGTCCACGTCCATGTCCACGTCCACGTCCACGTCCACGTCCACGTCCATGTCCATGTCCACGTCCACGTCCACGTCCACGTCCATGTCCACGTCGACGTCCACGTCCACGTCCACTGTCCACGTCCACGTCCATGTCCACGTCCATGTCCGCGTCCATGTCCACAACCCACGTCCATGTCCACGTCCATGTCCACGTCCACGTCCACGTCCACGTCCATGTCCACGTCCACGTCCACGTCCACGTCCATGTCCACGTCCACGACCATGTCCACATCCTGTCCATGTCCACGTCCACGTCCACGTCCACGTCCACGACCCATGTCCACGTCCACGTCCACGTCCTTGTCCACGTCCACGTCCACGTCCACGTCCATGTCCACGTCCACGTCCACGTCCATGTCCACGTCCACGTCCACGTCCACGTCCACGTCCACGTCCAGTCCACGTCCACGTCCACGTCCACGTCCACGTCCATGTCCACGTCCACGTCCACGTCCATGTCCACCTCCACGTCCACGTCCACAGCCATGTCCACGTCCACGTCCACGTCCACATCCCCGTCCACGTCCACATCCGCGTCCATGTCCACGTCCATGTCCGTCCAGTCCACGTCCACGTCCCACGTCCACGTCCACGTCCACATCCACGTCCATGTCCACGTCCATGTCCACGTCCATGTCCACGTCCACGTCCACGTCCACGACCATGTCCACGTCCACGTCCCGTCCACATCCACGTCCACGTCCACGACCATGTCCACGTCCACGTCCACGTCCATGTCCACGTCCACGTCCATGTCCACGTCCATGTCCACGTCCATATCCCCGTCCACGTCCACGTCCGCGTCCACGTCCACGTCCACGTCCACGTCCATGTCCATGTCCACGTCCACGTCCACGTCCACGTCCACGTCCACGTCCATGTCCACGTCCGCGTCCACGTCCCCGTCCACGTCCACGTCCACGTCCACGTCCATGTCCATGTCCACGTCCAGTCCACGTCCACGTCCACGTCCATGTCCACGTCCATGTCCATGTCCATGTCCACGTCCACGTCCACGTCCTGGTCCATGTCCACGTCCACGTCCACGTCCACGTCCACGTCCATGTCCACGTCCACGTCCACGTCCACGTCCACGTCCACGTCCACGTCCACGTCCACGTCCACGTCCGCGTCCATGTCCACGTCCATGTCCACGTCCACGTCCACGTCCATGTCCATGTCCATGTCCACGTCCATGTCCACGTCCACGTCCATGTCCACGTCCACGTCCACGTCCACGTCCATGTCCACGTCCATGTCCCACGTCCACGTCCACGTCCATGTCCACGTCCATGTCCACGTCCACGTCCACGTCCACGTCCACGTCCACGTCCATGTCCAACGTCCACGTCCACGTCCAGGTCCACGTCCACGTCCACGTCCACGTCCACGTCCACGTCCATGTCCACGTCCACGTCCACGTCCACGTCCACGACCACCTCCATGTCTACGTCCACGTCCACGTCCACGGTCCACGTCCACGTCCACGTCCAGGTCCACGTCCACGTCCACGTCCACGACCATGTCCACGTCCATGTCCACGTCCACGTCCACGTCCACGTCCACGTCCACGTCCAAGTCCACGTCCGCGTCCGCGTCCACGTCCATGTCCACGTCCACGTCCATGTCCACGTCCACGTCCACGTCCATGTCCACGTCCATGTCCATGTCCATGTCCATGTCCATGTCCACGTCCATGTCCATGTCCACGTCCACGTCCATGTCCACGTCCATGTCCACAACCACGTCCATGTCCACGTCCATGTCCACGTCCACGTCCACGTCCACGTCCATGTCCACGTCCACGTCCACGTCCACGTCCAGTCCACGTCCACGACATGTCCACGTCCATGTCCATGTCCACGTCCACGTCCACGTCCACGTCCACGTCCATGTCCACGTCCACGTCCACGTCCCGTCCACGTCCACGTCCACGTCCATGTCCACGTCCACGTCCACGTCCATGTCCACGTCCACGTCCACGTCCACATCCCCGTCCACGTCCACGTCCCCGTCCACGTCCACGTCCACGTCCGCGTCACGTCCACGTCCACGTCCACGTCCATGTCCACGTCCACGTCCACGTCCACGTCCATGTCCACGTCCACGTCCACGTCCACATCCACGTCCACGTCCACGTCCACGTCCATGTCCACGTCATGTCCACGTCCATGTCCACGTCCACGTCCACGTCCACGTCCCATCCACGTCCATGTCCACGTCCATGTCCACGTCCATGTCCACGTCCACGTCCACGTCCACGACCATGTCCACGTCGTCGCGTCCACGTCCACGTCCACGTCCACGACCATGTCCACGTCCACGTCCACGTCCATGTCCACGTCCACGTGTCCACGTCCATGTCCACGTCCATGTCCACGTCCACGTCCCCGTCCACGTCCACGTCCGCGTCCATCCACGTCCGCGTCCACGTCCACGTCCACGTCCACGTCCACATCCACGTCCACGTCCACGTCCACGTCCATCCCACGTCCACGTCCACGTCCACGTCCACGTCCACGTCCATGTCCATGTCCACGTCCGGTCCACGTCCACGTCCACGTCCATGTCCACGTCCATGTCCATGTCCATGTCCACGTCCACGTCCACGTCCTGGTCCATGTCCACGTCCACGTCCACGTCCACGTCCACGTCCATGTCAACGTCCACGTCCACGTCCACGTCCACGTCCATGTCCACGTCCACGTCCACGTCCACGTCCGCGTCCATGTCCACGTCCTGTCCACGTCCACGTCCATGTCCATGTCCACGTCCATGTCCACGTCCATGTCCACGACCACGTCCATGTCCACGTCCAAGTCCTCCACGTCCATGTCCACGTCCATTCCACGTCCACGTCCACGTCCATGTCCACGTCCACGTCCACGTCCACGTCCATGTCCACGTCCCATGTCCACGTCCCCACGTCCACGTCCATGTCCACGTCCACGTCCACGTCCATGTCCACGTCCACGTCCACGTCCAGGTCCACGTCCACGTCCACGTCCACGTCCACGTCCACGTCCATGTCCACGTCCACGTCCACGTCCACGTCCACGTCCACGACCACCTCCATGTCCACGTCACGTCCACGTCCACGTCCACGTCCACGTCCAGGTCCACGTCCACGTCCACGTCCACGTCCATGTCCACGTCCATGTCCACGTCCACGTCCACGTCCACGTCCACGTCCACGTCCACGTCCACGTCCACGCGTCCACGTCCACGTCCATGTCCACGTCCACGTCATTCCACGTCCCCATGTCCACGTCCACGTCCACGTCCATGTCCACGTCCATGTCCACGTCCATGTCCACGTCCACGTCCACGTCCATGTCCATGTCCATGTCCACGTCCACGTCCACGTCCACGTCCACGTCCATGTCCACGTCCACGTCCACGTCCACGTCCACGTCCATGTCCACGTCCATGTCCACAACCACGTCCATGTCCACGTCCATGTCCACGTCCACGTCCACGTCCCACGTCCACGTCCTGTCCACGTCCACGTCCACGACCACGTCCACGACCATGTCCACGTCCTTGTCCACGTCCTTGTCCACGTCCACGTCCACGTCCACGTCCACGTCCACGTCCATCCCGTCCACGTCCACGTCCACGTCCACGTCCACGTCCATGTCCAGGTCCACTTCCACGTCCACGTCCATGTCCACGTCCGCATCCACGTCCACGTCCACGTCCACGTCCATGTCCACGTCCATGTCCACGTCCATGTCCACGTCCATGTCCACGTCCACGTCCATGTCCACGTCCATGTCCACTCCATGTCCGCGTTCCACGTCCACGTCCACGTCCACGTCCGCATCCACGTCCACGTCCACGTCCACGTCCATGTCCACGTCCACGTCCACGTCCACGTCCACGTCCACGACCATGTCCACGTCCAGTCCACGTCCATGTCCACGTCCACGTCCATGTCTACGTCCATGTCCACGTCCATGTCCGCTTCCACGTCCACGTCCACGTCCACGTCCGCATCCACGTCCACGTCCACGTCCACGTCCATGTCCACGTCCACGTCCACGTCCACGTCCACGTCCACGACCATGTCCACGTCCATGTCCACGTCCATGTCCACGTCCACGTCCATGTTACGTCCATGTCCACCTCCATGTCCACTTCCACGTCCATGTCCACCTCCATGTCCACGTCCACGTCCACGTCCACGTCCACCTCCACGTCCACGTCCACGTCCACGTCCACGTCCACGTCCACGTCCACGTCCAACGTCCACGTCCACGTCTACGTCCACGTCCACGTCCACGTCCACGTCCACGTCCACGTCCACGTCCACCTCCACGTCCATGTCCACGTCCACGTCCACGTCCACGTCCACGTCCACCTCCACGTCAACGTCCACCCCTCCACGTCCACGTCCACGTCCACGTCACGTCCACGTCCACGTCCACCTCCATGTCCACGTCCCCCCACGTCCACGTCCTCGTCCACGTCCACGTCCACGTCCACGTCCATTTTCACGTCCACGTCCATGTCCACGTCCACGTCCATGTCCACGTCCACGTCCATGTCCACGTCCCGTCCACGTCCATGTCGATGTCCACGTCCATCCACGTCCACGTCCATGTCCACGTCCACGTCCATGTCCACGTCCGCGTCCACGTCCATGTCCACGTCCACGTCCACGTCCATGTCCACGTCCACGTCCACGTCCATGTCCACGTCCCCGTCCGTCCACCGTCCACGTCACGTCCAAGTCCACGTCCATGTCCATCCACGTCCATGTCCACGTCCGCGTCCATCCACGTCCACGTCCACGTCCACGTCCACGTCCACGTCCACGTCCACGTCCACGTCCATGTCCACGTCCACGTCCACGTCCACGTCCACGTCCACGTCCATGTCCATGTCCACGTCCATGTCCACGTCCACGTCCACGTCCACGACCATGTCCACGTCCACGTCCAAGTCCTCCACGTCCACGTCCACGTCCATGTCCACGTCCACGTCCACGTCCACGTCCATGTCCATGTCCACGTCCACGTCCACGTCCACGTCCATGTCCACGTCGCGTCCACGTCCACGTCCACGTCCACGTCCATGTCCACGTCCATGTCCGCGTCCATGTCCACAACCACGTCCATGTCCACGTCCATGTCCACGTCCACGTCCACGTCCACGTCCATATCCACGTCCACGTCCACGTCCACGTCCATGTCCACGTCCACGTCCATGTCCACGTCCATGTCCATGTCCACGTCCACGTCCACGTCCCAGTCCACGTCCATGTCCAGTCCGTCCACGTCCACGTCCTTGTCCACGTCCACGTCCACGTCCACGTCCATGTCCACGTCCACGTCCACGTCCCCATGTCCACGTCCACGTCCACGTCCACGTCCCCGTCCACGTCCACGTCCACGTCCACGTCCACGTCCTCGTCCGCGTCCATGTCCACGTCCACGTCCACGTCCATGTCCACCTCCACGTCCACGTCCACAGCCATGTCCACGTCCACGTCCACGTCCACATCCCGTCCACGTCCACGTCCACGTCCATGTCCACTTCCACGTCGTCCACGTCCATGTCCACGTCCACGTCCACGTCCACGTCCACATCCACGTCCATGTCCACACGTCCATTCCACATGTCCACGTCCACGTCCACGTCCACGTGTCCACGTCCACGTCCGTCCACATCCACGTCCACGTCCACGTCCACGTCCATGTCCACACGTCCACGTCCACGTCCATGTCCACGTCCATGTCCACGTCCATGTCCGTCCATGTCCACGTCCACATCCCCGTCCACGTCCACGTCCGCGTCCATCCACGTCCACGTCCACGTCCTTGTCCATGTCCACGTCCACATCCACGTCCACGTCCACGTCCGCGTCCATCCACGTCCGCGTCCACGTCCCCGTCCACGTCCACGTCCACGTCCACGTCCATGTCCATGTCCACGTCCATGTCCACGTCCACGTCCACGTCCATGTCCACGTCCATGTCTCCTGTCCATGTCCACGTCCACGTCCACGTCCTGGTCCATGTCCACGTCCACGTCCACGTCCACGTCCACGTCCACGTCCATGTCCACGTCCACGTCCACGTCCACGTCCAACGTCCACGTCCAACGTCCACGTCCACGTCCACGTCCACGTCCACGTCCACGTCCACGTCCAGGTCCACGTCCACGTCCACGTCCACGTCCACGTCCACGTCCACGTCCACGTGTCCACGTCCACGTCCACGTCCACGTCCACGTCCAGGTCCACGTCCACGTCAACGTCCACGTCCACGTCCACGTCCAGTCCACGTCCACGTCCACCTCCACGTCCACGTCCACGTCCACGTCCAGGTCCACGTCCACGTCCACGTCCAGGTCCACGTCCACGTCCACGTCCGTTCCACGTCCACGTCAACGTCCACGTCCACGTCCACGTCCACGTCAACGTCCACGTCCACGTCCACGTCCACGTCCACGACCATGTCCACGTCCACGTCCACGTCCACGACCGTCCACGTCCACGTCCACGTCCATGTCCATGTCCACGTCCACGTCCACGTCCACATCCCCGTCCACATCCACGTCCACGTCCATGTCCATCCACGTCCATGTCCACGTCCACGTCCATCCACGTCCACGTCCACGTCCACATCCACGTCCGCGTCCACGTCCACGTCCACGTCCGCGTCCACGTCCACGTCCACGTCCACGTCCACGTCCATGTCCACGTCCACGTCCACGTCCACGTCCACGTCCACGTCCACAACCATGTCCCGTCCACGTCCACGTCCACGTCCATGTCCACGTCCACGTCCATGTCCACGTCCCCGTCCACGTCCAAGTCCACGTCCATGTCCAACCACGTCCATGCCACGTCCACGTCCATCCACGTCCACGTCCACGTCCGCGTCCATGTCCACGTCCACGTCCACGTCCACGTCCGCGTCCACGTCCACGTCCACGTCCGCGTCCACGTCCACGTCCACGTCCATGTCCACGTCCACGTCCACGTCCATGTCCACGTCCACCCCACATGTCCATGTCCACGTCCATGTCATGTCCACGTCCACGTCCACGTCCACGTCCACGTCCATGTCCACGTCCATGTCCACGTCCACGTCCATGTCCACGCCACGTCCATGTCCACGTCCACGTCCTCCACGTCCATGTCCACGTCCATGTCCACGTCCACGTCCACGTCCATGTCCACGTCCACGTCCATGTCCACGTCCACGTCCACGTCCACGTCCACGTCCACGTCCACGTCCATGTCCACGTCCACGTCCACGTCACGTCCATGTCCACGTCCATGTCCACGTCCACGTCCATGTCCACGTCCATGTCCACGTCCACGTCCATGTCCACGTCCACGTCCGTCCACGTCCACGTCCATGTCCACGTCCATGTCCACGTCCATGTCCATGTCCACGTCCACGTCCACGTCAGTCCACGTCCACGTCCATGTCCACGTCCACGTCCACGTCCTTGTCCACGTCCACGTCCACGTCCACGTCCATGTCCACGTCCACGTCCACGTCCACATCCCCGTCCACGTCCACGTCCACGTCCACGTCCACGTCCATGTCCACGTCCACGTCCACGTCCATGTCCACGTCCACGTCCACGTCCATGTCCACGTCCATGTCCATGTCCACGTCCACCGGTCCACGTCCACGTCCACGTCCACGTCCACGTCCAGGTCCACGTCCACGTCCACGTCCATGTCCACGTCCCGTCCACGTCCACGTCCACGTCCATGTCCACGTGTCCACGTCCATGTCCACGTCCACGTCCACGTCCCCGTCCATGTCCACGTCCATGTCCACGTCCATGTCCACGTCCACGTCCACGTCCACGTCCACGTCCCTGTCCATGTCCACTCCACGTCCACGTCCACGTCCTTGTCCGGGTCCATGTCCACGTCTACGTCCACGTCCACGTCCATGTCCACGTCCACATCCATGTCCACGTCCACGTCCATGTCCACGTCCATGTCCATGTCCACGTCCACGTCCATGTCCACGTCCACGTCCACGTCCGTCCACGTCCACGTCCACGTCCACGTCCACGTCCATGTCCACGTCCACGTCAATGTCCACGTCCACGTCCACGTCCATGTCCACGTCCACATCCACGTCCACGTCCATGTCCACGTCCATGTCCACGTCCACGTCCACGTCCATGTCCACGTCGACGTCCACGTCCACGTCCACGTCCACGTCCACGTCCATGTCCACGTCCACGTCCACGTCCATGTCCATGTCCACGTCCACGTCCACGTCCATGTCCCTCGACCATGTCCACGTCCATGTCCATGTCCACGTCCACGTCCACGTCCACGTCCACGTCCACGACCACGTCCATGTCCACGTCCACGTCCACGTCCTTGTCCACGTCCACGTCCACGTCCATGTTCCACGTCCACGTCCACGTCCACATCCCCGTCCACGTCCACGTCCGCGTCCATCCACGTCCACGTCCACGTCCACGTCCACGTCCACGTCACATCCGCGTCCACGTCCATGTCCACGTCCACGTCCACGTCCATGTCCACCACGTCCACGTCCATGTCCATGTCCACGTCCATGTCCACGTCCACGTCCATGTCCACGACCATGTCCATGTCCACGTCCAAGTCCTCCACGTCCATGTCCACGTCCATGTCCACGTCCACGTCCACGTCCACGTCCATGTCCATGTCCATGTCCACGTCCACGTCCACGTCCATGTCCACGTCGACGTCCACGTCCACGTCCACGTCCACGTCCATGTCCACGTCCATGTCCGCGTCCATGTCCACAACCACGTCCATGTCCACGTCCATGTCCACGTCCACGTCCACGTCCACGTCCAGGTCCATGTCCACGTCCATGTCCACGTCCACGTCCATGTCCACGTCCATGTCCACGTCCATGTCCATGTCCACGTCCTCGTCCACCCAAGTCCACGTCCATGTCCACGTCCACGTCCACGTCCACGTCCACGTCCATGTCCACGTCCACGTCCACGTCCACATCCCCGTCCACGTCCACGTCCACGTCCATGTCCACGTCCGCGTCCACGTCCACGTCCACGTCCACGTCCACGTCCATGTCCACGTCCACGTCCAGGTCCACGTCCACGTCCACGTCCATGTCCACGTCCACGTCCACGTCCATGTCCACGTCCACGTCCACGTCCTGTCCACGTCCACGTCCACATCCACGTCCATGTCCACGTCCACGTCCACGTCCACGTCCACGTCCACGTCCACGTCCACGTCCACGTCCACGTCCACGTCCACGTCCAGGTCCAGTCCACGTCCACGTCCACGTCCACGTCCACGTCCACGTCCACATCAACGTCCACGTCCACGTCCACGTCCACGTCCACGTCCACGTCAACGTCCAGGTCCACGTCCACGTCCACGTCAACGTCCACGTCCACGTCCACGTCCAGGTCCACGTCCAACGTCCACATCACGTCCACGTCCACGTCCACGTCCACGTCCAGGTCCACGTCCACGTCCACGTCCAGGTCCACGTCCACGTCCACGTCCACGTCAACGTCCACGTCACGTCCACGTCCACGTCCACGTCCACGTCAACGTCCACGTCCACGTCCACGTCCACGTCCACGACCATGTCCACGTCCACGTCCACGTCCACGACCGTCTACGTCCACGTCCACGTCCATGTCCATGTCCACGTCCACGTCCACGTCACTCCCCGTCCACATCCAAGTCCACGTCCATGTCCATCCCACGTCCTTGTCGACGTCCACGTCCATCCACGTCCACGTCCACGTCCACATCCACGTCCATGTCCACGTCCACGTCCACGTCCGCGTCCACGTCCACGTCCACGTCCACGTCCATGTCCACGTCCACGTCCACGTCCACGTCCACCTCCACAACCATGTCCGTCCACGTCCACGTCCACGTCCATGTCCACGTCCACGTCCATGTCCACATCCCCGTCCACGTCCAAGTCCACGTCCATGTCAACCACGTCCATGCCGACGTCCACGTCCATCCACGTCCACGTCGACGTCCACGTGTCCATCCACGTCCACGTCCACGTCCACGTCCACGTCCACGTCCACGTCCACGTCCACGTCCACGTCCACGTCCACGTCCATATCCACGTCCATGTCCACGTCCACGTCCACGTCCATGTCCACGTCCATGTCCATGTCCACGTCCATGTCCATGTCCACGTCCAGTCCACGTCCACGTCCACGTCCATGTCCACGTCCATGTCCACGTCCACGTCCATGTCGACCACGTCCATGTCCACGTCCAAGTCCTCCACGACCATGTCCACGTCCATGTCCACGTCCACGTCCACGTCCATGTCCACGTCCACGTCCATGTCCACGTCCACGTCCACGTCCACGTCCATGTCCATGTCCACGTCCACGTCCACGTCCACGTCCACGTCCATGTCCACGACCATGTCCACGTCCATGTCCATGTCCACGTCCACGTCCACGTCCACGTCCACGACCATGTCCACGTCCACGTCCACGTCCACGTCCATGTCCACGTCCACGTCCACGTCCACGTCCATGTCCACGTCTACGTCCACGTCCAATCCCGTCCACGTCCACGTCCACGTCCACGTCCACGTCCACGTCACGTCCATGTCCACGTCCACGTCCACGTCCATGTCCACGTCCATGTCCATGTCCACGTCCACGTCCACGTCCACGTCCACGTCCACGTCCACGTCCAGGTCCATGTCCTCCGTCCACGTCCATGTCCACGTCCTGTCCACGTCCACGTCCGCGTCCATGTCCACGTCCACGTCCATGTCCACATCCACGTCAACGTCCCCGTCCATGTCCACGTCCATGTCCTCCACGTCCATGTCCACGTCCACGTCCACGTCCCCGTCCACGTCCCCGTCCATGTCCACATCCACGTCCACGTCCACGTCCTTGTCCTGGTCCATGTCCACGTCCACGTCCACGTCCACGTCCATGTCCACGTCCACATCCATGTCCACGTCCACGTCCATGTCCACCCATGTCCATGTCCATATCCATGTCCATGTCTACGTCCACGTCCACGTCTACGTCCACGTCCACGTCCACGTCCACGTCCATGTCCACGTCCACGTCCATGTCCACGTCCACGTCCACGTCCATGTCCACGTTGACATCCACGTCCACGTCCACGTCCACTTCCATGTCCACGTCCACGTCCACGTCCATGTCCACGTCGACGTCCACGTCCACGTCCACGTCCACGTCCATGTCCACGTCCACGTCCACGTCCATGTCCATGTCCACGTCCACGTCCACGTCCATGTCCTCGACCATGTCCACGTCCATGTCCATGTCCACGTCCACGTCCACGCCCACGTCCACGTCCACGACCACGTCCATGTCCACGTCCACGTCCACGTCCTTGTCCACGTCCACGTCCACGTCCACGTCCATGTCCACGTCTACGTCCACGTCCACATCCCCGTCCACGTCGACATCGCGTCCACGTCCACGTCCACGTCCACGACCATGTCCACATCCACGTCCACGTCCATGTCCACGTCCACGTCCACGTTCCATGTCCACGTCCACGTCCATGTCCACGTCCACGTCCACGTCCACGTCCACGTCCATGTCCACATCCACGTCCACGTCCACGTCCGCGTCCATGTCCACGTCCACGTCCACGTCCACGTCCACGTCCACATCCGCGTCCACGTCCCGTCCACGTCCGCGTCCATGTCCCGCATCCACGTCCACGTCCACGTCCATGTCCACGTCCACGTCCACGTCCACGTCCACGTCCACCTCCACAACCATGTCCACGTCCACGTCCACGTCCACGTCGATGTCCACGTCCACGTCCATGTCCACGTCCCGTCCACGTCCAAGTCCACGTCCATGTCCAACCACCACGTCCATGTCCACGTCCACGTCCATCCACGTCCACGTCCACGTCCGCGTCCATCCACGTCCACGTCCACGTCCACGTCCACGTCCGCGTCCGTCCACGTCCACGTCCGCGTCCACGTCCACGTCCACGTCCATGTCCATGTCCACGTTCACGTCCATGTCCACGTCCATGTCCATGTCCACGTCCATGTCCATGTCCACGTCCACGTCCACGTCCACGTCCATGTCCACGTCCATGTCCACGTCCACGTCCATGTCCACGTCCACGTCCATGTCCACGTCCAAGTCCTCCACGTCCATGTCCACATCCATGTCCACGTCCACGTCCACGTCCATGTCCACGTCCACGTCCATGTCCACGTCGACGTCCACGTCCACGTCCACGTCCACGTCCATGTCCATGTCCACGTCCACGTCCACACGTCCACGTCCACGTCCACGTCCATGTCCAAAACCACGTCCATGTCCACGTCCATGTCCACGTCCACGTCCACGTCCATGTCCGTCCACGTCCACGTCCACGTCCACGTCCACGTCCATGTCCACGACCATGTCCACGTCCATGTCCATGTCCACGTCCACGTCCACGTCCACGACCACGTCCATGTCCACGTCCACGTCCACGTCCTTGTCCACGTCCACGTCCACGTCCACGTTCATGTCCACGTCTACGTCCACGTCCACATCCCCGTCCACGTCCACGTCCGCGTCCACGTCCACGTCCACGTCCACGTCCATGTCCACGTCCACGTCCACGTCCATGTCCACGTCCATGTCCATGTCCACGTCCACGTCCACGTCCACGTCCACGTCCACGTCCACGTCCAGGTCCACGTCCATGTCCACGTCCACGTCCATGTCCACGTCCCTGTCCACGTCCACGTCCACGTCCATGTCCACGTCCACGTCCATGTCCACGTCCACGTCCACGTCCCGTCCATGTCCACGTCCATGTCCACGTCCATGTCCACGTCCACGTCCACGTCCCGTCCACGTCCCCGTCCATGTCCACGTCCACGTCCACGTCCACGTCCTTGTCCTGGTCCATGTCCACGTCCACGTCCACGTCCACGTCCATGTCCACGTCCACATCCATGTCCACGTCCACGTCCATGTCCACGTCCATGTCCATGTCCATATCCATGTCCATGTCTACGTCCACGTCCACGTCTACGTCCACGTCCACGTCCACGTCCACGTCCATGTCCACGTCCACGTCAATGTCCACGTCCACGTCCACGTCCATGTCCACGTCGACATCCACGTCCACGTCCACGTCCACTTCCATGTCCACGTCCACGTCCACGTCCATGTCCACGTCGACGTCCACGTCCACGTCCACGTCCACGTCCATGTCCACGTCCACGTCCACGTCCATGTCCATGTCCACGTCCACGTCCACGTCCATGTCCTCGACCATGTCCACGTCCATGTCCATGTCCACGTCCACGTCCACGTCCACGTCCACGTCCACGACCACGACCATGTCCACGTCCACGTCCACGTCCTTGTCCACGTCCACGTCCACGTCCACGTCCATGTCCACGTCTACGTCCACGTCCACATCCCCGTCCACGTCGACATCCGCGTCCACGTCCACGTCCACGTCCACGACCATGTCCACATCCACGTCCACGTCCATGTCCACGTCCACGTCCACTCCAGTCCATGTCCACGTCCACGTCCATGTCCACGTCCACGTCCACGTCCACGTCCACGTCCACGTCCATGTCCACATCCCCGTCCACGTCCACGTCCGCGTCCATGTCCACGTCCACGTCCACGTCCACGTCCACGTCCATGTCCACATCCGCGTCCACGTCCCCGTCCACGTCCGCGTCCATGTCCACATCCACGTCCACGTCCACGTCCATGTCCACGTCCACGTCCACGTCCACGTCCACGTGCACCTCCACAACCATGTCCACGTCCACGTCCACGTCCACGTCGATGTCCACGTCCACGTCCATGTCCACATCCCCGTCCACGTCCAAGTCCACGTCCATGTCCAACCACGTCCATGCCGACGTCCGCGTCCATCCACGTCCACGTCGACGTCCGCGTCCATCCACGTCCACGTCCACGTCCACGTCCACGTCCGCGTCCACGTCCACGTCCACGTCCGCGTCCACGTCCACGTCCACGTCCATGTCCATGTCCACGTTCACGTCCATGTCCACGTCCATGTCCATGTCCACGTCCATGTCCATGTCCACGTCCACGTCCACGTCCACGTCCATGTCCACGTCCATGTCCACGTCCACGTCCATGTCCACGACCACGTCCATGTCCACGTCCAAGTCCTCCACGTCCATGTCCACATCCATGTCCACGTCCACGTCCACGTCCATGTCCACGTCCACGTCCATGTCCACGTCGACGTCCATGTCCACGTCCACGTCCACGTCCATGTTCATGTCCACGTCCACGTCCACGTCCACGTCCATGTCCACGTCCATGTCCAAAACCACGTCCATGTCCACGTCCATGTCCACGTCCACGTCCACGTCCATGTCCACGTCCACGTCCACGTCCACCTCCACGTCCACGTCCATGTCCACGACCATGTCCACGTCCATGTCCATGTCCACGTCCACGTCCACGTCCACGACCACGACCATGTCCACGTCCACGTCCACGTCCTTGTCCACGTCCACGTCCACGTCCACGTTCATGTCCACGTCTACGTCCACGTCCACATCCCCGTCCACGTCCACGTCCGCGTCCCATCCACGTCCACGTCCACGACCATGTCCACATCCACGTCCACGTCCATGTCCACGTCCACGTCCACGTCCATGTCCACGTCCATGTCCATGTCCACGTCCACGTCCACGTCCACGTCCACGTCCACGTCCATGTCCACGTCCACGTCCATGTCCACGTCCACGTCCATGTCCACATCCCCGTCCACGTCCACGTCCGCGTCCATGTCCACGTCCACGTCCATGTCCACGTCCACGTCAACGTCCCCGTCCATGTCCACGTCCATGTCCACGTCCATGTCCACGTCCACGTCCACGTCCCTGTCCACGTCCCCGTCCATGTCTACATCCACGTCCACGTCCACGTCCTTGTCCTGGTCCATGTCCACGTCCACGTCCACGTCCACGTCCATGTCCACGTCCACATCCATGTCCACGTCCACGTCCATGTCCACGTCCATGTCCATGTCCATATCCATGTCCATGTCTACGTCCACGTCCACGTCTACGTCCACGTCCACGTCCACGTCCACGTCCATGTCCACGTCCACGTCAATGTCCACGTCCACGTCCACGTCCATGTCCACGTCGACATCCACGTCCACGTCCACGTCCACGTCCACGTCCATGTCCACGTCCATGTCCACGACGACGTCCACGTCCACGTCCACGTCCATGTCCACGTCGACGTCCACGTCCACGTCCACGTCCACGTCCACGTCCACGTCCACGTCCACGTCCATGTCCACGTCCACGTCCACGTCCACGTCCATGTCCTCGACCATGTCCACGTCCATGTCCATGTCCACGTCCACGTCCACGTCCACGTCCACGACCACGACCATGTCCACGTCCACGTCCACGTCCACGTCCACGTCCACGTCCATGTCCACGTCTACGTCCACGTCCACATCCCCGTCCACGTCCACGTCCGCGTCCACGTCCACGTCCACGTCCACGACCATGTCCACATCCACGTCCACGTCCATGTCCACGTCCACGTCCACGTCCACTTCCATGTCCACGTCCACGTCCATGTCCACGTCCACGTCCACGTCCACGTCCACGTCCACGTCCACGTCCATGTCCACGTCCACGTCCACGTCCACATCCCCGTCCACGTCCACGTCCGCGTCCACGTCCACGTCCACGTCCACGTCCATGTCCACGTCCACGTCCACGTCCCCGTCCACGTCCCCGTCCATGTCCCCGTCCACGTCCACGTCCACGTCCACGTCCACGTCCATGTCCACGTCCACGTCCATGTCCACGTCCACGTCCATGTCCACGTCCATGTCCATGTCCACGTCCATGTCCATGTCCATGTCCACGTCCATGTCTACGTCCACGTCCACGTCCACGTCCACGTCCATGTCCACATCCACTTCACGTCCATGTCCCACGTCCACGTCCATGTCCACGTCCACGTCCATGTCCGCGTCCACGTCCACGTCCATGTCCACGTCCACGTCCACGTCCACGTCCACGTCCACGTCCGTCCACGTCCGCGTCCATCCACGTTCACGTCCACGTCCACGTCCACGTCCATGTCCACGTACATATCCACGTCCACGTACATGTCCATGTCCATGTCCATGTCCACGTCCACGTCCACGTCCACGTCCACGTCCACGTCCACATCCACATCCAGGTCCACGTCCATGTCCACGTCCATGTCCACGTCCACGTCCATGTCCACGTCCACGTCCACATCCACGTCCACCTCCACGTCCACGTCCACGACCACGTCCACGACCATGTCCACGTCCACGTCCACGTCCACGTCCACGTTCATGTCCACGTCCATGTCCACGTCCAAGTCCTCCACGTCCACGTCCACAACCACGTCCATGTCCACGTCCACGTCCACGTCCACGTCCATGTCCACGTCCACGTCCATGTCCACGTCCACGTCCACGTCGGCGTCCATGTCCACGTCCACGTCCACGTCCACGTCCACGTCCACGTCCATGTCCACGTCCACGTCCACGTCCATGTCCATGTCCACGTCCACGTCCATGTCCACGTCCATGTCCATGTCCACGTCCACGTCCACGTCCATGTCCATGTCCATGTCCATGTCCACGTCCATGTCCATGTCCATGTCCACGTCCACGTCCATGTCCACGTCCAGGTCCACGTCCATGTCCACGTCCACGTCCAGGTCCACGTCCATGTCCATGTCCATGTCTACGTCCACGTCCACGTCCATGTCCACGTCCATGTCCATGTCCATGTCCATGTCCATGTCTGTCCACGTCCACGTACACGTCCTCGTCCACGTCCATGTCCACGTCCATGTCCACGTCCACGTCCACGTCCACGTCCACGTCCTCGTCCACGTCCACGTCCACGTCCATGTCCATGTCCACGTCCATGTCCACGTCCACGTCCACGTCCTCGTCCACGTCCATGTCATCGTCCACGTCCACGTCCACGTCCACGACCACGTCCACGTCCACGTCCATGACCACGTCCAATTCCACGTCCAAGTCCTCCACGTCCATGTCCACGTCCACGTCCACGTCCACGTCCACGTCCATGTCCACGTCCACGTCCACATCCACGTGCACGTCCACGTCTACGTCCACGTCCACGTCCGCGTCCACGTCCGCGTCCACGTCCACGTCCGCGTCCCCGTCCGCGTCCACGTCCAAGTCCATGTCCTCGTCCATGTCCACGTCCACGTCCGCGTCCATCCACGTCCACGTCCACGTCCACGTCCACGTCCTCGTCCGCGTCCTCGTCCGCGTCCACGTCCACGTCCACGTCCACGTTCACGTCCACGTCCACGTCCACGTCCATGTCCACGTCCATGTCCACGTCCACGTCCACGTCCACGTCCACGTCCACGTCCATGTCCACGTCCATGTCCATGTCCATGTCCATGTCCACGTCCACGTCCACGTCCATGTCCACGTCCACGTCCACGACCACGTCCACGTCCACGTCCACGTCCACGTCCATGTCCACGTCCAAGTCCTCCACGTCCACGTCCACGTCCACGTCCAAGTCCTCCACGTCCATGTCCACGTCCGCTTTCCATCACCCCCCCATTCTCTTGCTTTCCATCACCCCGCCCCCATTCTCCTGCTTTCCATCACCTCAACCCATTCTCCCACTTTCCATCACTCCGCCCCATTCTCCCGCTTTCCATCAGCCCGCCCATTCTCACTCTTTCCATCACCCCACCCCATTCTCCCTCCGTCCATCACCCCGCCCCATTCGCCTGATTTCCATCGCCCCGCCCAATTCTCCCGTTTTCCATCACCCCGCCCCATTCTCCCACTATCCATCACCCCGCCTCATTATCCCGCTTTCCATCACCCTGCCCCATTCTCTTGCTTTCCATCACCCCGCCCCATTCTCCCGCTTTCCATCACCCCGCCCCACTCTCCCGCTTTCCATCATCCCACCCAATTCTCCCTCCTTCCATCGCCCGCCCCCTTTCTCCCGCTTTCCATCGCCCCGCCCATTCTCCCGCTTTCCATCACCCGGCCCCATTCTCCCGCTTTCCATCACCCCGCCCCATTCTCCCACTTTCCATCACCCCGCCCCATTCTCCCAATCTCCATCACCCGCCCCATTCTCCCCTCCTTCCATCACCCCGCCCCATTCTCCCTCCTTCCATCACCCCGCCCAATTCTCCCGCTTTCCATCACTCCGCCCCATTTTCCCGCTTTCCACCACCCCCCCCCTTTCTCCCTCCTTTCATAACCCCGCCCCATTCTCCCGCTTTCCATCACCCTGCCTCATTCTCCCGCTTTCCCTCACCCCGCCACAGTCTCCTGCTTTCCATAGCCCGCCCCATTCTCCTTCTTTCCATCACCCCGCCCCTTTCTCCCGCTTTCCATCACTACGCCCCATTCTCCCTCCTTCCATCATCCCGCCCATTCTCCCGCTTTCCATCACCCCGCCCCATTCTCCCGTTTTCCATCACCCCGCCCCATTCTCCCCACTTTCTATCACCCCGCCCCCATTCTCCCGCTTTCCATCACCCCGCCCCATTCTTCCGCTTTCCATCACCCCCCCATTCTCCTGCTTTCCATCACCCCGCCCCATTCTCCCTCCTTCCATCACCCCGCCCCATTCTCCTCCTTCCATCACCCCGCCCCATTCTCCCGCTTTCCATCACCCCGCCCCATTCTCCCTCCTTCCATAACCCCACCCCATTCTCCCTCCTTCCATCACCCCGCCCCATTCTCTCGCTTTCCATCACCCCGCCCGCCCATTCTCCCGCTTTCCATCACCTCGCCCCATTCTCCCTCCTTCCATCACCTCGCCCCATTCTCCCCCCTTCCATAACCCGCCCCATTCTCCCACTTTCCATCACCCCGCCCCATTCTCCCGCTTTCCATCACCCCGCCCCATTCTCCCGCTTTCCCTCACCCCGCCCCAGTCTCCCGCTTTCCATAGCCCCGCCCCATTCTCCCCATCACCGCACCCCATTCTCCTGCTTTCCATCACCCGCCCCATTCTCCCGCTTTCCATCACCCGTCCCATTCTCCCCGCTTTCCATCACCCCGCCCCATTCTCCCGCTTTCCATCACTCCGCCCCATTCTCCCGCTTTCCATCACCCCGCCTCATTCTCCCGCTTTCCATCACCCCGCCACATTCTCCCGCTTTCCATCACCCCGCCCCATTCTCCCTCCTTCCATCACCCCACCCTATTTTCCCTCCTTCCATCACCCCGCCCCATTCCACCGCTTTCCATCACCCCCCCTCATCCTCCCGCTTTCCATCACCCCGCCCCATTCCCCCGCTTTCCATCACCCCCCCGCCCCATTCTCCCACTTTCCATCACCCCGCCCCATTCTTCCGCTTTCCATCACCCCGTCCCATTCTCCCGCTTTCCATCACCACGCCCCATCCTCCCGCTTTCCATCACCCCGCCCCATTCTCCCGCTATCCATCACCCCGCCCCATTCTCCCGCTTTCCATCACCCCACCTCATTCTCCCTCCTTCCATCACCCCGCCCCATTCTCCCTCCTTCCATCACCCCTCCCCATTCTCCCGCTTTCCATCACCCGTCCCATTCTCCCGCTTTCCATCACTCCGCCTCATCCCCCGCTTCCATCACCCCGCCCATTCCCCCGCTTTCGATCACCCCCCATTCTCCCGCTTTCTATCACCCCGCCCCATTCTTCCGCTTTCCATCACCCCGTCCCATTCTCCCACTTTCCATCACCACGCCCCATTCTCCCGCTTTCTATCACCCCGCCCCATTCTCCCGCTATCCATCACCCCGCCCCATTCTCCCGCTTTCCATCACCCAGCCTCATTCTCCCTCCTTCCATCACCCCTCCCCATTCTCCCGCTTTCCATCACCCCGTCCCATTCTCCCGCTCTCCATCACCCCTCCCCATTCTCCCTCCTTCCATCACCCCGTCCCATTCTCCCTCCTTCCATCAACCCGCCCCATTCTCCCTCCTTTGATCACCCCGCCTCATTCTCGCGCGTTCCATCACCCCGGGATGGAATATGGGAGAAGGGGATGGAATCTGGGTGAAGGGATGGAATATGGGAGAAGGGGATGGAATCTGGGAGAAGGGGATGGAATCTGGGAGAAGGGGATGGAATCAGGGAGAAGGGGATGGAGTCCGGGAGAAGGGGATGGAATCTGGGAGAAGGGGGTGGAATCAAGGAGAAGGGGATGGAATCCGGGAGAAGGGGATGGAATCTGGGAGAAGGGGGTGGAATCAAGGAGAAGGGGATGGAATCCGGGAGAAGGGGATGGAATCTGGGAGAAGGGGATGGAATCTGGGAGAAGGGGATGAATCAGGGAGAAGGGGATGGAATCTGGGAGAAGGGGATGGAATCTGGGAGAAGGGGATGGAATCAGGGAGAAGGGGATGGAATCTGGGAGAAGGGGATGGAATCTGGGAGAAGGGGGTGGAATCTGGGAGAAGGGGATGGAATCTGGGAGAAGGTGATAGAATCTGGGAGAAGGGATGGAATCTGGGAGAAGGGGATGGATCAGGGAGAAGGGGATGGAATCGGGGAGAAGGGGATGGAATCTGGGAGAAGGGGATGGAATCTGGGAGAAGGGGAGAAGGGGATTGAATCTGGGAGAAGGGGATGGAATCTGGGAGAAGGGGATGGAATCTGGGAAAGGGGATGAATCAGGGAGAAGGGGATGGAATCTGGGAGAAGGGGATGGAATCTGGGAGAAGGGGGTGGAATCTGGGAGAAGGGGATGGAATCTGGGAGAAGGGGATGGAATCTGGGAGAAGGGGATGGAATCTGGGTGAAGGGGATGGAATCTGGGAGAAGGGGATGGAATCTTGGTGAAGGGGATGGAATATGGGAGAAAAGGATGGAATCTGGGAGAAGGGGATGGAATCTGGGAGAAGGGGATGGAATCAGAGAGAAGGGGATGGAGTCCGGGAGAAGGAAATGGAATCTGGGAGAAGGGGGTGGAATCAGGGAGACGGGGATGGAATCCGGGAGAAGGGGATGGAATCTGGGAGAAGGGGATGGAATCCGGGAGAAGGGGATGGAATCTGGGAGAAGGGGATGGAATCTGGGAGAAGGGGATGGAATCTGGGAAAGGGGATGGAATCAGGGAGAAGGGGATGGAATCTGGGAGAAGGGGATGGAATCTGGGAGAAGGGGGTGGAATCTGGGAGAAGGGGATGGAATCTGGGAGAAGGGGATGGAATCAGGGAGAAGGGGATGGAATTTGGGAGAAGGGGATGGAATCTGGGAGAAGGGGATGGAATCTCGGAGAAGGGGATAGAATCTGGGAGAAGGGGATGGAATCTAGGAGAAGGGGATGCAATTAGGGAGAAGGGGATGGAATTTAGGGGAAGGGGATGGAATCTGGAAGAAGGGGATGGAATATGGGAGATGGGGATGGAATCTGGAAGAAGGGGATGGAATCTAGGAGAAGGGGATGGAATGAGGGAGAAGGGGATGGAATCTGGGAGAAGGGGATGGAATCTGGGTGAAGGGGATGGAATCTGGGAGAAGGGGATGGAATCTGGGAGAAGGGGATGGAATCTGGGAGAAGGGGATGGAATCTGGGAGAAGGGGATGGAATCTGGCAGAAGGGGATGGAATCTGGGAGAAGGGGATGGAATATGGGAGAAGGGGATGGAATCTGGGAGAAGGGGATGGAATCTGGGAGAAGGGGATGGAATCTGGGAGAAGGGGATGGAATCTGGGAGAAGGGGATGGAATTGGGGAGAAGGGGATGGAATCGGGGAAAAGGGGATGGAATCTGGGAGAAGGGGATGGAATCTGGTAGAAGGGGATGGAATCAGGGAGATGGGGATGGAATCTAGGGGAAAGGGATGGAATCTGGGAGAAGGGGATGGAATCTGGGAGAAGGGGATGGAATCTGGGAGAAGGGGATGGAATCTGGGAGAAGGGGATGGATTCTGGGAGAAGGGGATGGAATCTGGGAGAGAGGGGATGGAATCTAGGAGAAGGGGATGGAATCTGGGAGAAGGGGATGGAATCTGGAGAAGGGGATGGAATCTGGGAGAAGGGGATGGAATCTAGGAGAAGGGGATGGAATCTGGGAGAAGGGGATGGAATCTGGGAGAAGGGATGGAATCTGGGAGAAGGGGATGGAATCTGGGAGAAGGGGATGGAATCTGGGAGAAGGGGATGGAATCTGGGAGAAGGGGATGGAATGAGGGAGAAGGGGATGGAATCTGGGAGAAGGGGATGGAATCTGGTAGAAAGGATGGAATCTGAGAAAGGGGATGGAATCAGGGAGAAGGGGATGGAATCTGGGAGAAGGGGATGGAATCTGGTTGAAGGGGATGGAATCTTGGAGAAGGGGATGAAATCTGGGAGAAGGGGATGGAATCAGGGAGAAGGGGATGGACTCTGGAAGAAGGGGATGGAATCTGGGAGAAGGGGATGGAATCTGGGAGAAGGGGATGGAATCTGGGAGAAGGGGATGGAATGAGGGAGAAGGGGATGGAATCTGGGAGAAGGGGATGGAATCGGGGAGAAGGGGATGGAATCTGGGAGAAGGGGATGGAATCTGGAGAAGGGATGGAATCTGGGAGAAGGGGATGGAATCTGGGAGAAGGGGATGGAATCTGGGAGAAGGGGATGGAATCTGGGAGAAGGGGATGGAATCTGGGAGAAGGGGATGGAATCTGGGAGAAGGGGATGGAATCTGGGAGAAGGGGATGGAATCTGGGAGAAGGGGATGGAATCTGGGAGAAGGGGATGGAATCTGGGAGAAGGGGATGGAATCTGGGAGAAGGGGATGGAATCTGGGAGAAGGGGATGGAATCTAAGAGAAGGGGGATGGAATATGGGAGAAGGGATGGAATCTAGGAGAAGGGGATGGAATCTGGGAGAAGGGGATGGAATCTGGGAGAAGGGATGGAATCTGGGAGAAGGGATGGAATCTGGGAGAAGGGGATGGAATCTGGGAGAAGGGGATGGAATCTGGGAGAAGGGGATGGAATCTGGGAGAAGGGGATGGAATCTGGGAGAAGGGGATGGAATCTGGGAGAAGGGGATGGAATCTGGGAGAAGGGGATGGAATGAGGGAGAAGGGGATGGAATCTGGGAGAAGGGGATGGAATCGGGAGAAGGGGATGGAATCAAGAAGAAGGGGATGGAATTTGGGAGAAGGGGATGGAATCTGGGAGAAGGGGATGGAATCTGGGAGAAGGGGATGGAATCTGGGAGAAGGGGATGGAATCTGGGAGAAGGGGATGGAATCTGGGAGAAGGGGATGGAATCGGGAGAAGGGGATGGAATCTGGGAGAAGGGGATGGAATGAGGGAGAAAGGGATGGAATCTGGGAAAAGGGGATGGAACTTGGGAGAAGGGGATGGAATCTGGAGAAGGGGATGGAATTGGGAGAAGGGGATGGAATCTGGGAGAAGGGGATGGAATCTGGGAGAAGGGGATGGAATCTGGGAGAAGGGGATGGAATCTGGGAGAAGGGGATGGAATATGGGAGAAGGGATGGAATCGGGGAGAAGGGGATGGAATCTGGGAGAAGGGGATGGAATCGGGGAGAAGGGGATGGAATCGGGGAGAGGAGAAGGGGATGGAATCTGGGAGAAGGGGATGGAATCTGGGAGAAGGGGATGGAATCTGGGGAGAAGGGGATGGAATCTGGGAGAAGGGGATGGAATCTGGGAGAAGGTGATGGAATCTGGGAGAAGGGGATGGAATCTGGGAGAAGGGATGGAATCTGGGAGAAGGGGATGGAATTTGGGAGAAGGGGATGGAATTTGGGAGAAGGGGATGGAATCTGGGAGAAGGGGATGGAATCTTGGGGAAGGGGATGGAATCTGGGAGAAGGGGATGGAATCTGGGAGAAGGGGATGGAATGAGGGAGAAGGGGATGGAATCTGGGAGAAGGGGATGGAATATGGGAGAAGGGGATGGAATCTAGGAGAAGGGGATGGAATCTGGGAGAAGGGGATGGAATCTGGGAGAAGGGGATGGAATCTGGGAGAAGGGGATGGAATCTGGGAGAAGGGGATGGAATCTGGGAGAAGGGGATGGAATCTGGGAGAAGGGGATGGAATCTGGGAGAAGGGGATGGAATCTGGGAGAAGGGGATGGAATCTGGGAGAAGGGGATGGAATGAGGGAGAAGGGGATGGAATCTGGGAGAAAGGGGATGGAATCAGGGAGAAGGGGATGGAATCAAGAAGAAGGGGATGGAATTTGGGAGAAGGGGATGGAATCTGGGAGAAGGGGATGGAATCTGGGAGAAGGGGATGGAATCTGGGAGAAGGGGATGGAATCTGGGAGAAGGGGATGGAATCTGGGAGAAGGGGATGGAATCGGGGAGAAGGGGATGGAATCTGGGAGAAGGGGATGGAATGAGGGACAAGGGATGGAATCTGGGAAAAGGGGATGGAACGTGGGAGAAGGGGATGGAATCTGGGAGAAGGGGATGGAATTTGGGAGAAGGGGATGGAATCTGGGAGAAGGGGATGGAATCTGGGAGAAGGGGATGGAATCTGGGAGAAGGGGATGGAATCTGGGAGAAGGGGATGGAATCTGGGAGAAGGGGATGGAATCGGGGAGAAGGGGATGGAATCTGGGAGAAGGGGATGGAATCTGGGAGAAGGGGATGGAATCTGGGAGAAGGGGATGGAATCCGGGAGAAGGGGATGGAATATGGGAGAAGGGGATGGAATCTGGGAGAAGGGGATGGAATCTGGGAGAAGGGGATGGAATCTGGGAGAAGGGGATGGAATCTGGGAGAAGGGATGGAATCAGGGAGAAGGGATGGAATCTCGGAGAAGGGATGGAATCTGGGAGAAGGGGGTGGAATAGGGAGAAGGGGATGGAATCTGGAGAAGGGGATGGAATCTGGGAGAAGGGGATGGAATCTGGAGAAGGGGATGGAATCTGGGACAAGGGGATGGAATCAGGGAGATGGGGAGGAAATCTAGGGGAAGGGGATGGAATCTGGGAGAAGGGGATGGAATCTGGGAGAAGGGGATGGAATCTGGGAGAAGGGGATGGAATCTGGGAGAAGGGGATGGAATGGGAGAAGGGGATGGAATCTGGGAGAAGGGGATAGAATCTGGGAGAAGGGGATGGAATCTGGAAGAAGGGGATGGAATCTGGGAGAAGGGATGGAATCTGAGAAAGGGGGATGGAATCAGGGAGAAGGGGATGGAATCTGGGAGAAGGGGATGGAATCTGGGAGAAGGGGATGGAATCTGGAGAAGGGGATGAAATCTGGGAGAAGGGGATGGAATCAGGGAGAAGGGGATGGAATCTGGAAGAAGGGGATGGAATCTGGGAGAAGGGGATGGAATCTGGGAGAAGGGATGGAATCTGGGAGAAGGGGATGGAATGAGGGAGAAGGGGATGGAATCTGGGAGAAGGGATGGAATCTGGGAGAAGGGGATGGAATCTGGGAGAAGGGGATGGAATCTGGGAGAAGGGGATGGAATCTGGGAGAAGGGGATGGAATCTGGGAGAAGGTGATGGAATCTGGGAGAAGGGGGATGGAATCTGGAGAAGGGGAATGGAATCTGGGAGAAGGGATGGAATCTGGGAGAAGGGGATGGAATTGGGAGAAGGGGATGGAATCTGGGAGAAGGGGATGGAATCTGGGAGAAGGGGATGGAATCTGGGAGAAGGGGATGGAATCTGGGAGAAGGGGATGGAATCTGGGAGAAGGGGATGGAATCTGGGAGAAGGGATGGAATATGGGAGAAGGGATGGAATCTAGGAGAAGGGGATGGAATCTGGGAGAAGGGGATGGAATCTGGGAGAAGGGGATGGAATCTGGGAGAAGGGGATGGAATCTGAGAGAAGGGGATGGAATCTGGGAGAAGGGGATGGAATCTGGGAGAAGGGGATGGAATCTGGGAGAAGGGATGGAATCTGGGAGAAGGGGATGGAATCTGGGAGAAGGGGATGGAATCTTGGAGAAGGGGATGGAATGAGGGAGAAGGGGATGGAATCTGGGAGAAGGGGATGGAATCAGGGAGAAGGGGATGGAATCAGAAGAAGGGGATGGAATCTGGGAGAAGGGGATGGAATCTGGGAGAAGGGGATGGAATCTGGGAGAAGGGGATGGGATCTGGGAGAAGGGGATGGAATCTGGGAGAAGGGATGGAATCTGGGAGAAGGGGATGGAATCGGGGAGAAGGGGATGGAATCTGGGAGAAGGGGATGGAATCTGGGAGAAGGGGAATGGAATCTGGGAAAAGGGGATGGAACTTGGGAGAAGGGGATGGAATCTGGGAGAAGGGGATGGAATTTGGGAGAAGGGGATGGAATCTGGGAGAGGGGATGGAATCTGGGAGAAGGGGATGGGATCTGGGAGAAGGGGATGGAATCTGGGAGAAGGGGATGGAATATGGAGAAGGGGATGGAATCGGGAGAAGGAGATGGAATCTGGGAGAAGGGGATGGAATCGGAGAAGGGGATGGAATCGGGGAGAGGGAAGGGGATGGAATCTGGGAGAAGGGGATGGAATCTGGGAGAAGGGGATGGAATCTGGAGAAGGGGATGGAATCTGGGAGAAGGGGATGGAATCTGGGAGAAGGGGGGGGGGGGGGGGGGAGAAGGGATGGAATCTGGAGAAGGGGATGGAATCTGGGAGAAGGGGATGGAATCTGGGAGAAGGGGATGGAATTGGGAGAAGGGGATGGAATCTGGGAGAAGGGGATGGAATCTGGGAGAAGGGGATGGAATCTTGGGGAAGGGGATGGAATCTGGGAGAAGGGGATGGAATCTGGGAGAAGGGGATGGAATGAGGGAGAAGGGGATGGAATCTGGGAGAAGGGGATGGAATATGGGAGAAGGGGATGGAATCTAGGAGAAGGGGATGGAATCTGGGAGAAGGGGATGGAATCTGGGAGAAGGGGATGGAATCTGGGAGAAGGGGATGGAATCTGGGAGAAGGGGATGGAATCTGGGAGAAGGGGATGGAATCTGGGAGAAGGGGATGGAATCTGGGAGAAGGGGATGGAATCTGGGAGAAGGGGATGAAATCTTGGGAGAAGGGGATGGAATGAGGGAGAAGGGGATGGAATCTGGGAGAAGGGATGGAATCAGGGAGAAGGGGATGGAATCAAGAGAAGGGGATGGAATTTGGGAGAAGGGGATGGAATCTGGGAGAAGGGGATGGAATCGGGGAGAAGGGGATGGAATCCGGGAGAAGGGGATGGAATCTGGGAGAAGGGGATGGAATCTGGGAGAAGGGGATGGAATCGGGGAGAAGGGATGGAATCTGGGAGAAGGGGATGGAATGAGGGAGAAAGGGATGGAATCGGGGAAAAGGGGATGGAACGTGGGAGAAGGGGATGGAATCTGGGAGAAGGGGATGGAATTTGGGAGAAGGGGATGGAATCTGGGAGAAGGGGATGGAATCTGGGAGAAGGGGATGGAATCTGGGAGAAGGGATGGAATCTGGGAGAAGGGGATGGAATCAGGGAGAAGGGGATGGAATCGGGGAGAAGGGGATGGAATCTGGGAGAAGGGGATGGAATCTGGGAGAAGGGGGTGGAATCTGGGAGAAGGGGATGGAATCTGGGAGAAGGGGATGGAATATGGGAGAAGGGGATGGAATCTGGGAGAAGGGGATGGAATCTGGGAGAAGGGGATGGAATCTGGGAGAAGGGGATGGAATCTGGGAGAAGGGGATGGAATCAGGGAGAAGGGGATGGAATCTCGGAGAAGGGGATGGAATCTGGGAGAAGGGGGTGAATATGGGAGAAGGGGATGGAATCTGGGAGAAGGGGATGGAATCTGGAGAAGGGGATGGAATCTGGAGAAGGGATGGAATCTGGGAGAAGGGGATGGAATCAGGGAGATGGGGATGAAATCTAGGGGAAGGGGATGGAATCTGGGAGAAGGGGATGGAATCTGGGAGAAGGGGATGGAATCTGGGAGAAGGGGATGGAATCTGGGAGAAGGGGATGGAATGGGAGAAGGGGATGGAATCTGGGAGAAGGGGATGGAATCTGGGAGAAGGGGATGGAATCTGGAAGAAGGGGATGGAATGGGAGAAGGGGATGGAATCTGGGAGAAGGGGATAGGAATCTGGGTGAAGGGGATGGAATATGGGAGAAGGGGATGGAATCTGGGAGAAGGGGATGGAATCTGGGAGAAGGGGATGGAATCGGGAGAAGGGGATGGAGTCCGGGAGAAGGGGATGGAATCTTGGAGAAGGGGGTGGAATCAAGGAGAAGGGGATGGAATCCGGGAGAAGGGGATGGAATCTGGGAGAAGGGGATGGAATCCGGGAGAAGGGGATGGAATCTGGGAGAAGGGGATGGAATCTGGGAGAAGGGGATGGAATCTGGAGAAGGGGATGGAATCCGGGAGAAGGGGATGGAATCTGGGAGAAGGGGATGGAATCTGGGAGAAGGGGTGGAATCTGGGAGAAGGGGATGGAATCTGGGAGAAGGGGATGAATCTGGGAGAAGGGGATGGAATCTGGGAGAAGGGGATGGAATCTGGGAGAAGGGGATGGAATCTTGCTGAAGGGGATGGAATGGGAGAAGGATGGAATCCGGGAGAAGGGGATGGAATCTGGGAGAAGGGGATGGAATCTGGGAGAAGGGGATGGAATCTGGGAGAAGGGGATGGAATCTGGGAGAAGGGGGTGGAATCTGGGAGACGGGGATGGAATCTGAGAAAAGGGGATGGAATCTGGGAGAAGGGGATGGAATCTAGGAGAAGGGGATGGAATGAGGAGAAGGGGATGGAATCTGGAGAAGGGGATGGAATCTGGGTGAAGGGGATGGAATCTGGGAGAAGGGGATGGAATCTGGGAGAAGGGATGGAATCTGGGAGAAGGGGATGGAATCTGGGAGAAGGGGATGGAATCTGGGAGAAGGGGATGGAATCAGGGAGAAGGGGATGGAATCTGGGAGAAGGGGATGGAATCTGGAGAAGGGGGTGGAATCTGGGAGAAGGGGATGGAATCTGGGAGAAGGGGATGGAATCTGGGAGAAGGGGATGGAATTGGGGAGAAGGGGATGGAATCGGGAGAAGGGGAGGAATCTAGGAGAGGGGATGGAATCTGGTAGAAGGGGATGGAATCTGGGAGAAGGGGATGGAATCTGGCAGAAGGGGATGGAATCTGGGAGAAGGGGATGGAATCTGGGAGAAGGGGATGGAATCTGGAGAAGGGGATGGAATCTGGGAGAAGGGGATGGAATCTGGCAGAAGGGGATGGAATCTGGGAGAAGGGGATGGAATCTGGGAGAAGGGGATGGAATCTGGGAGAAGGGGATGGAATCTGGGAGAAGGGGATGGAATCTGGGAGAAGGGGATGGAATCTGGGAGAAGGGGATGGAATCTGGGAGAAGGGGATGGACTGGGAGAAGGGGATGGAATCTGGGAGAAGGGGATGGAATCTGGAGAGAGGGGATGGAATCTGGGAGAATGGGATGGAATGAGGGAGAAGGGGATGGAATCTGGGAGAAGGGGATGGAATCTGGTAGAAGGGATGGAATCTGAGAGAAGGGGATGGAATCAGGGAGAAGGGGATGGAATCTGGGAGAAGGGGATGGAATCTGGGAGAAGGGGATGGAATCTGGGAGAAGGGGATGCAATCTGGGAGAAGAGGATGGAATTAGGGAGAAGGGGATGGAATCTGGAAGAAGGGGATGGAATCTGGGAGAAGGGGATGGAATCTGGGAGAAGGGGATGGAATCAGGGAGAAGGGGATGGAATTTGGGAGAAGGGGATGGAATCTGGGAGAAGGGGATGGAATCTTGGGGAAGGGGATGGAATCTGGGAGAAGGGGATGGAATCTGGGAGAAGGGGATGGAATGAGGGAGAAGGGGATGGAATCTGGGAGAAGGGGATGGAATATGGGAGAAGGGGATGGAATCTAGGAGAAGGGGATGGAATCTGGGAAAAGGGGATGGAATCTGGGAGAAGGGGATGGAATCTGGGAGAAGGGGATGGAATCTGAGAGAAGGGGATGGAATCTGGGAGAAGGGGATGGAATCTGGGAGAAGGGGATGGAATTTGGGAGAAGGGGATGGAATCTGGGAGAAGGGATGGAATCTGGGAGAAGGGGATGAAATCTGGGAGAAGGGGATGGAATGAGGGAGAAGGGGATGGAATCTGGGAGAAGGGATGGAATCAGGGAGAAGGGGATGGAATCAAGAAGAAGGGGATGGAATTTGGGAGAAGGGGATGGAATCTGGGAGAAGGGGATGGAATCGGGGAGAAGGGGATGGAATCTGGGAGAAGGGGATGGAATCTGGGAGAAGGGGATGGAATCTGGGAGAAGGGGATGGAATCGGGGAGAAGGGGATGGAATCTGGGAGAAGGGGATGGAATCTGGGAGAAGGGGATGGAATCTGGGAGAAGGGGATGGAATCTGGGAGAAGGGGATGGAATCTGGGAGAAGGGGTGGAATCTGGGAGAAGGGGATGGAATCTGAGAAAAGGGGATGGAATCTGGGAGAAGGGGATGGAATCTAGGAGAAGGGGATGGAATGAGGGAGAAGGGGATGGAATCTGGGAGAAGGGGATGGGATCTGGGAGAAGGGGATGGAATCTGGGAGAAGGGGATGGAATCTGGGAGAAGGGGATGGAATCTGGGAGAAGGGGATGGAATCTGGGAGAAGGGGATGGAATCTGGAGAAGGGGATGGAATCTGGGAGAAGGGGATGGAATCTGGGAGAAGGGGATTGAATCTGGGAGAAGGGGTGGAATTTGGGAGAAGGGGATGGAATCTGGGAGAAGGGGATGGAATCTGGGAGAAGGGATGGAATTGGGGAGAAGGGGATGGAATCGGGGAGAAGGGGATGGAATCTAGGAGAAGGGGATGGAATCTGGTAGAAGGGGATGGAATCTGGGAGAATGGGGATGGAATCTGGCAGAAGGGGATGGAATCTGGGAGAAGGGGATGGAATCTGGGAGAAGGGATGGAATCTGGGAGAAGGGGATGGAATCTGGGAGAAGGGGATGGAATCTGGGAGAAGGGGATGGAATCTGGGAGAAGGGGATGGAATCTGGGAGAAGGGATGGAATCTGGAGAAGGGGATGGAATCTAGGAGAAGGGGATGGAATCTGGGAGAAGGGGATGGAATCTGGGAGAAGGGGATGGAATCTGGGAGAAGGGGATGGAATCTGGGAGAAGGGGATGGAATCTGGGAGAAGGGGATGGAATCTGGGAGAAGGGGATGGAATCTGGGAGAAGGGGATGGAATGAGGGAGAAGGGGATGGAATCTGGAGAAGGGGATGGAATCTGGGAGAAGGGGATGGAATCTGAGAGAAGGGATGGAATCTGGGAGAAGGGGATGGAATCTGGGAGAAGGGGATGGAATCTGGTTGAAGGGGATGGAATCTGGGAGAAGGGGATGCAATCTGGGAGAAAGGATGGAATTAGGGAGAAGGGGATGGAATCTGGAAGAAGGGGATGGAATCTGGGAGAAGGGGATGGAATCTGGGGGGGGTCTGGGAGAAGGGGATGGAATCAGGGAGAAGGGGATGGAATTTGGGAGAAGGGGATGGAATCTGGGAGAAGGGGATGGAATCTTGGGGGAAGGGGATGGAATCTGGGAGAAGGGGATGGAATCTGGGAGAAGGGGATGGAATGAGGGAGAAGGGGATGGAATCTGGGAGAAGGGGATGGAATATGGGAGAAGGGGATGGAATCTGGGAGAAGGGGATGGAATCTGGGAGAAGGGGATGGAATCTGGGAGAAGGGGATGGAATCTGGGAGAAGGGGATGGAATCTGAGAGAAGGGGATGGAATCTGGGAGAAGGGGATGGAATCTGGGAGAAGGGGATGGAATCTGGGAGAAGGGGATGGAATCTGGGAGAAGGGGATGGAATCTGGGAGAAGGGGATGGAATCTGGGAGAAGGGATGGAATCTGGGAAAAGGGGATGGAACGTGGAGAAGGGGGGGGGATGGAATCTGGGAGAAGGGGATGGAATTTGGGAGAAGGGGATGGAATCTGGGAGAAGGGGATGGAATCTGGGAGAAGGGGATGGAATCTGGGAGAAGGGGATGGAATCTGGAGAAGGGATGGGATCAGGGAGAAGGGGATGGAATCGGGAGAAGGGGATGGAATCTTGAGAAGGGGATGGAATCTGGAGAAGGGGGTGGAATCTGGGAGAAGGGGATGGAATCCGGGAGAAGGGGATGGAATCTGGGAGAAGGGGATGGAATCTGGAGAAGGGGATGGAATCTGGGAGAAGGGGATGGAATCTGGGAGAAGGGGATGGAATCTGGGAGAAGGGGATGGAATCAGGGAGAAGGGGATGGAATCTGGGAGAAGGGGATGGAATCTGGGAGAAGGGGTGGAATCTGGGAGAAGGGGATGGAATCTGGGAGAAGGGGATGGAATCTGGGAGAAGGGGATGGAATCTGGAGAAGGGGATGGAATCTGGGAGAAGGGGATGGAATCAGGGAGATGGGATGGAATCTAGGAGAAGGGGATGGAATCTGGGAGAAGGGGATGGAATCTGGGAGAAGGGATGGAATCTGGGAGAAGGGGATGGAATCTGGGAGAAGGGGATGGATGGGAGAAGGGGATGGAATCTGGGAGAAGGGGATGGAATCTGGGAGAAGGGGATGGAATCTGGAGAAGGGGATGGAATGGGAGAAGGGGATGGAATCTGGGAGAAGGGGATGGAATCTGGGAGAAGGGGATGGAATCTGGGAGAAGGGGATGGAATCTGGGAGAAGGGGATGGAATCTGGGAGAAGGGGATGGAATCAGGGAGAAGGGGATGGAATCTGGGAGAAGGGGATGGAATCTTGGAGAAGGGGGTGGAATCAAGGAGAAGGGGATGGAATCTGGGAGAAGGGGATGGAATCTGGGAGAAGGGGATGGAATCTGGGAGAAGGGGATGGAATCTGGGAGAAGGGGATGGAATCTGGGAGAAGGGGATGGAATCTGGGAAAAGGGGATGGAACGTGGGAGAAGGGGATGGAATCTGGGAGAAGGGGATGGAATTGGGAGAAGGGGATGGAATCTGGGAGAAGGGGATGGAATCTGGGAGAAGGGGATGGAATCTGGGAGAAGGGGATGGAATCTGGGAGAAGGGGATGGAATCTGGGAGAAGGGGATGGAATCGGGAGAAGGGGATGGAATCTTGGAGAAGGGGATGGAATCTGGGAGAAGGGGATGGAATCTGGGAGAAGGGGATGGAATCCGGGAGAAGGGGATGGAATCTGGGAGAAGGGGATGGAATCTGGGAGAAGGGGATGGAATCTGGGAGAAGGGGATGGAATCTGGAGAAGGGGATGGAATCTGGGAGAAGGGGATGGAATCTGGGAGAAGGGGATGGAATCTCGGAGAAGGGGATGGAATCTGGGAGAAGGGGGTGGAATCTGGGAGAAGGGGATGGAATCTGGGAGAAGGGGATGGAATCTGGGAGAAGGGGATGGAATCTGGAGAAGGGGATGGAATCTGGGAGAAGGGGATGGAATCAGGGAGAAGGGGATGGAATCTGGGGAAGGGGATGGAATCTGGGAGAAGGGGATGGAATCTGGGAGAAAGGGATGGAATCTGGGAGAAGGGGATGGAATCTGGAGAAGGGGATGGAATGGGAGAAGGGGATGGAATCTGGGAGAAGGGGATAGAATCTGGGAGAAGGGGATGGAATCTGGGAGAAGGGGATGGAATGGGAGAAGGGGATGGAATCTGGGAGAAGGGGATGGAATCTGGGTGAAGGGGATGGAATATGGGAGAAGGGGATGGAATCTGGGAGAAGGGGATGGAATCTTGGAGAAGGGGATGGAATCAGGGAGAAGGGGATGGAATCCGGGAGAAGGGGATGGAATCTTGGAGAAGGGGGTGGAATCAAGGAGAAGGGGATGGAATCCGGGAGAAGGGGATGGAATCTGGGAGAAGGGGATGGAATCCGGAGAAGGGATGGAATCTGGGAGAAGGGGATGGAATCTGGGAGAAGGGGATGGAATCTGGGAGAAGGGGATGGAATCCGGGAGAAGGGATGGAATCTGGGAGAAGGGGATGGAATCTGGGAGAAGGGGTGGAATCTGGGAGAAGGGGATGGAATCTGGGAGAAGGGGATAGAATCTGGGAGAATGGGATGGAATCTGGGAGAAGGGGATGGAATCTGGGAGAAGGGGATGGAATCTTGGTGAAGGGGATGGAATCTGGGAGAAAAGGATGGAATCTGGGAGAAGGGGATGGAATCTGGGAGAAGGGGATGGAATCTGGGAGAAGGGGATGGAGTCCGGGAGAAGGGGATGGAATCTGGGAGAAGGGGGTGGAATCAGGGAGAAGGGGATGGAATCCGAGAAAAGGGGATGGAATCTGGGAGAAGGGGATAGAATCCGGGAGATGGGGATGGAATCTGGGAGAAGGGGATGGAATCTAGAGAAGGGGATGGAATGAGGGAGAAGGGGATGGAATCTGGGAGAAGGGGATGGAATCTGGGTGAAGGGGATGGAATCTGGGAGAAGGGGATGGAATCTGGGAGAAGGGGATGGAATCTGGGAGAAGGGGATGGAATCTGGGAGAAGGGGATGGAATCTGGCAGAAGGGATGGAATCAGGGAGAAGGGGATGGAATCTGGGAGAAGGGATGGAATCTGGGAGAAGGGGGTGGAATCTGGGAGAAGGGATGGAATCTGGGAGAAGGGGATGGAATCTGGGAGAAGGGGATGGAATTGGGAGAAGGGATGGAATCGGGGAGAAGGGGATGGAATCTAGGAGAAGGGGATAATCTGGGAGAAGGGGATGGAATCTGGGAGAAGGGGATGGAATCTGGGAGATGGGGATGGAATCTGGGGAAGGGGATGGAATCTGGGAGAAGGGGATGGAATCTGGGAGAAGGGGATGGAATCTGGGAGAAGGGGATGGAATCTGGGAGAAGGGGATGGAATCTGGGAGAAGGGATGGAATCTGGCAGAAGGGATGGAAAAAAAGAAGGGGATGGAATCTGGAGAAGGGGATGGAATCTGGGAGAAGGGGATGGAATCTGGAGAAGGGATGGAATCTAGGAGAAGGGGATGGAATCTGGGAGAAGGGGATGGAATCTGGGAGAAGGGGATGGAATCTGGGAGAAGGGGATGGAATATGGGAGAAGGGGATGGAATCTGGGAGAAGGGGATGGAATCTGGGAGAAGGGGATGGAATCTGGGAGAATGGGATGGAATGAGGGAGAAGGGATGGAATCTGGGAGAAGGGGATGGAATCTGGGAGAAGGGATGGAATCTGGGAGAAGAAGGGATGGAATCTGGGAGAAGGGGATGGAATCTGGGAGAAGGGGATGGAATCTTGGAGAAGGGGATGGAATCTGGGAGAAGGGGATGGAATCTGGGAGAAGGGATGGAATGATGAGAAGGGGATGGAATCTGGGAGAAGGGGATGGAATCTGGGAGAAGGGATGGAATCTGGGAGAAGGGGATGGAATCTGGGAGAAGGGGATGGAATCTGGAGAAGGGGATGGAATCTGGGAGAAGGGGGAGAATCTGGGGGGAAAAAAAAAGAAAAAAAAAGAAAAGGGGAAAAAATCTGGGAGAAGGGGATGGAATCTGGAGAAGGGGATGGAATCTGGGAGAAGGGGATGGAATCTGGGAGAAGGGGATGGAATCTGGGAGAAGGGGATGGAATCTGGGAGAAGGGGATGGAATCTGGGAGAAGGGGATGGAATCTGGAAGAAGGGGATGAATCTGGGGAAGGGGATGGAATCTGGGAGAAGGGATGGAATCTGGGAGAAGGGGATGGAATCTGGAGAAGGGGATGGAATCTGGGAGAAGGGGATGGAATCTGGGAGAAGGGGATGGAATCTGGGAGAAGGGATGGAATCAAGGAGAAGGGATGGAATCTGGGAGAAGGGGATGGAATCTGGGAGAAGGGGATGGAATCTGGAGAAGGGGATGGAATCTGGGAGAAGGGGATGGAATCTGGAGAAGGGGATGGAATCTGGGAGAAGGGGATGGAATCTGGGAGAAGGGGATGGAATCTGGAAGAAGGGGATGGAATCTGGGAGAAGGGGATGGAATCTGGAGAAGGGGATGGAATCTGGGAGAAGGGGATGGAATCTGGGAGAAGGGGATGGAATCTGGAGAAGGGGATGGAATCTGGGAGAAGGGGATGGAATCTGGGAGAAGGGGATGGAATCTGGGAGAAGGGGGTGGAATCTGGGAGAAGGGGATGGAATCTGGGAGAAGGGGATGGAATCTGGGAGAAGGGGATGGAATCTGGGAGAAGGGGATGGAATCTGGGAGAAGGGGATGGAATCTGGAGAAAGGGATGGAATCTGGGAGAAGGGGATGGAATCTGGGAGAAGGGGATGGAATCTGGGAGAAGGGGATGGAATCTGGGAGAAGGGGATGGAATCTGGGAGAAGGGGATGGAATCTGGGAGAAGGGGATGGAATCTGGGAGAAGGGGATGGAATCTGGGAGAAGGGGATGGAATCAGGAGAAGGGGATGGAATCTGGGAGAAGGGGATGGAATCTGGGAGAAGGGGATGGAATTGGGGGAGAAGGGGATGGAATCGGGAGAAGGGGATGGAATCTGGAAGAAGGGATGGAATCTGGGAGAAGGGGATGGAATCTGGGAGAAGGGGATGGAATCTGGGAGAAGGGGATGGAATCTGGGAGAAGGGGATGGAATC